CACAAGCCATGTCAGTGGGGAAGCTGGCAGGAAGTCACAAGTTGTGGTCACATGAGGTCCTCGCTTAACAATGGCAACCAGGCCTGCCAGGATTGCCGTTGCTAAGCAACGTGGTCACGTGACACCGTGCTTTACAACCATGTCGCCTAGCAACAGAGTTGCCGGTCCCAATTGCTGTTGTTAAGCAAGGACTCCCTGTATTCCAAATGTCTCAATGTGCTTTGCTGTGCAATGTGTAATGCGGTGTATAGGGGAGCCATTCTTGCTGAAGTTTGGTTAGACTTGTGTTTTGGATCTATCCTGTCCATTTTGCCGTTGCTGCATTTTCTCCAACTTTGGTCTCCCCGTCTGAGACTGTCGGCAAATACCAAGGCCTTCATGGCTGCTCTGCCAAGTGCCAGTCTGTGGCGTATTTCTTGACTACTTTACTGTTGATGGTTAATCTTAAAAGGCAGAAGTTCTCCATCGTCTCAGTATCTTCATTATCAGTTCTGACGCTGGTGGTGTTCACAAATTGGTTATCTGCAGAACTCCAGATTACATCTGGTGCCAGCGCCTGACCAGCCAGGGGTTTGGCAGAGTGCTCCGGGCACCTCTTCTTTTCCAGAGCCTGAAAGGTGGGAAATGGGGTGGGGGCACGTGGATGGGTCCGTCTGGGGTCCCAAGCTCCAGAAGATCTCCCTCCACTTCAGTTAGTTGTCCCATTCCTGAGACAAAGTGCAAAGTGAAGAAGGAGCCTCGTGTCTCGATGGGGACACAAAAGCCCCCTTGTGCATGGTGGGCGCACCTCCTCTTTGCAACGGGCTGCTTTTGGACACGTTCTCCTGAATCCTGATGGGGCTTCCCCCACCAGAGCGACCGGCTGAAGCCTCCTCGTCTTCTTGGCTTTGAAAGAAGCACCCTTTCCAGCTCCTCTGCATTTGTGGAGCTCAGCCAGGGAAGAAGCTACTTGGCTGCTGCTGACTGAACGTCATTAAATCGATGCTTTCTTCAAAGGAGATGTTATGGGTTGGCTGCTCGGAGGAAGAAAAAGTTGGCCAGGAGAACATCAAGCGGTTCAATCAAACATCCATCTGCAGAGGCATTTCAGCAGCTGCTGTTATACCCAACTGACATGGTCTAATCCAGCCTTGAAATGCTTAGTCCTCGCAAGGGCCCGGCCCTGTGTTGAGGACACCAGAAATATGGCCATCAGTTTAAGTCCCCGACTCCTCTCTTACAAAGGGCTCAACTGATCCCAGTGTTTG